TCCAAGCATGCTCTTCCTACTCATCGATGCTCGGACCATGTGGTCGTTTTCTGGTTTTTTGTTTTGCCGATCTGTGCGGGCCCTCGCACCCCCCCCCTCCCTTCCCTCCATGGGGAGTGTATCTTGGCTGTTTTTTGGCGCCTGCATCGAGCAAATGGAGCCTCCCCCGCAGGACGAACTGCTGCAACCAGTCGCACTAAGCAGATGTCCGGAGCCAGACCCCCCCCGCGCCCCTTCCACCCAATGCCGAAACGCCGAATCAGAAAACGATGACCATGCCCCCTCGTGCCGGGACTCGACTCGGACGATAGCGCAGCCCGTGCGCAGCCGACGAGCAGAGCAGTCGGGACGCCCAGGCGTCACCACGAGCAGGGTGCGTTCGCTAGCGTTAAATCGGGCATGTCCCTCTAAAGGAGGAATGTTCAAAAATATTCAAACAATAGTCTGGGGACGATGTTCCGATTATTTGTTGGCCATGCTTGAATCTGTTTTGACTATTTTTCATTTTTCGTCCACAATCCGCCTACAGGGGGACATGCCCGACTTAACGCTAGCGCACAGCCTCCCAAGCCTCGGGAGCGGCTGCCCGATCTTTCTTGCCACCGCTTCGTGTCCAGTCGACACCAGGGGCGCTGCACACAGAGGACCCCAGGCGCCCTCCGAGGAGGACAGAAGTATTCGCTCGCCAGCAGCATGCCTCCCCAGCCCTGGCAGCGGCTGCCCAACTCCGAGGTGCAATGTCTTGGCTTTTCTCCCCTGCGGGCCCTCCCTCTAGGGGGCCACATACGAACCCCTCCCCCCATGATTTCTGAGAGGGAGGGTGGGGTTGACTTCGTTCTCTCGGCAGCGCTGGGGCCCGGCGAGGGCCCACGAAAACCGACGACGACGACGAAACACACATAGCAGGAGGAGAAGGAGGAGGAGGAGGAGGAGGAAGAGGAGGGAGGAGGAGGAGGAGGAGGAGGAGGAGGAGGAGGAGGAGGAGGATGAGGAATGGAGGAGGAGGAGGAGGAGGGATGGAGGAGGAGGAGGAGGAGGAGGAGCCCACGAAGGCCGAAGACGACGAACACACACACACACACATCAATTCTGCTTGTTGTCGTCGGATGCCTGGGACCGCTCCGTGCACAACCCGCACTGGGAGCGCTCCACAGAGAGTCGGCGGCGCGCCCGGGGGGGGAAGCTGCGAAGGGGCGGGCCTCCTCGGAAGGCTCCGGAGTCCTCCAGGCCTTCCCCGGAGACCTGGGAGACTTCTAAAAAGTCCGGAGGGCTTCTGAGTACAGTGGAGGCCCATGCCAGAAAGAGCGTGTTCTACCGCTGCTGGCGGAAACCAGGGGGGGGGTCCCAACCCGTCCCCCCTCCTCGAAAACGGGGGGGGGGTCACTACCGGTTCGAACCCCCCCCCCCTCCCCCCCCCCGTCCATCATGAAAAGGTGGGGGATGCCACTACTGGTCCGAACCCCCCCCTCCTTCCCCCTCGCCGCCGGCAAACGATTCCCGCTCTTCGGGACAGTTGGACAGTGGCGGGGATACTGGGACAGTGGGGGGACGGTGGTGGTGGGGACAGTGGTGGTGGGGACAGTGGGACAGTGGTGCGGACAGTGGGACAGTGTTGGGAACGGTGGTGGTGGGGACAGTGGTGAGGGGACAGCGGGACAGTAGTGGGGACACTGGGGACAGCGGGACAGTGGTGGGGACGGCGGGGACGGTAGTGGTGGGGACAGTGGTGAAAGCGGTGGTGAGGACGGTGGTGGGACAGCAGTACAGAGGGGAGAGTGGTGGGAACAATGGGGACAGTGGGACAGTGGTGGGGACTGGGGACAGTGGGACAGCACAGTGTGACAGCGGTGGGGACGGTGGGGACAGTGGGACAGTGATGGGCGCAGTGGGGGCAGTGGGACAGTGGCGGGGACATTGGGGACAATGGGGAGAGTGGGACCGTGGTGGGACAATGGTGGGGGCAGTGGGGACAGTGAGACAATGGTGGGGGCACTGGTGGGGACAGCGGGGACAATGCCAGGACCAGTGGGGACAATGGGACAGTGGTGGGGACTGTGGGATTGTGGTGGGGACGGTGGTGGTGGGGACAGTGGTGTGGGGACAGTGGGGCAGTGGTGGGAACAGTGGGGAAAGTGGGACAGTGGTGGGGACTGAGGGATAGTGGTTGGGACGGTGGTGGTGAGGACAGTGGTGTGGGGCCACAGGGACAGTGGTGGTGGTGGTGGGAACAGTGGGGACAGCGGGACAGTGGTGGGGGGGACAGTGGTGAGGACAGTGGTGGTGGGGACACCGGTAGTGACCCCCCCCGGTTTTCTGGAGGGCGGGGGGGGGTTCGAACCGGTAGTGGCCCACCCCCAGTTTTCTGGAGGGGGGGGTTAGAACCAGTAGTGACCCCCCTCGGTTTTTTGGAGGGGGGGGCGGGGCGCTTTGCCGGGACACTCGGGCTCCGGAGCAAGAGGGGGGGAATTCTCCACAGTAAAGCGGCGGTGCATCACGCTCTCTCCCATGCCAAGAAGCACCCTGCTCGCCCCCAGGGTGCCCTGGGTTTCTTGAGGTTCGATGGCTTTGCTACGGAAAGCGTGACGTTCCCACACTAGACATCGAGGGACGCCCTGGGGTCTCAGGGCTGGGTTTCTTGTGGAAGGTTTCTTGTGGACTGGCCTCCTCTGCAGCCCCGCCGCCTTCTGAGAAGGCCTTCTCTTTCGCTCGCTTCCCCCCCTCGCTCGCCGCCGAGAGAGGGGGGCCCCTCGCCCTCCGAGGAGCACGGGCGGGGCCGACCTCTCTCGCGCCCTTTCGCAGGGAGGGCCAGCAGAGGCCAGCACTTTTGTTGCACGACGCGGGCGGCCACGAACAAGTCGGGCATATCCCTCGACAGGAGGAATTGTCAAGAGTAGTCAAAACATCGCAAGTGGACGATGTTCGACTACGTTTGACCATTTTTGAACATTTTCGCTTATCTTGAATTGTGTGGTCCAAAATCCGCCTGTAGGGGGACATGCCCGACCTAAGGCTACGACGGCGGCTCCGGGACCTCCGAGGATATGATTTTTCAATCCGGGCGTTTCCCCTTGATTTCGGCCCCTGGGTCTGGTTGACACAAAAGGGGGTCCAGCGAAAAGAGGGTGGTGCAATAGATTTGGTGCAATACAGTCGGGGGGTTGCACTAGGTTTGGGGCGTGCAATACACAGATGTATTGCGGGATTCCCGCACGCAAAATATTGTAGATGCAATACAATGCAATACACTTCTCTTGCGCAAGGCATTTGCAATACAATTGTTCCAAATCTATTGCACCGCTCCCTTTCAGTTTGACCCCTTCTGGGTCGACCAATCGTGGGCCCGTCATCGGGCGGGGCTGGGACGGGGGCAAATCCGTTCGAGAGCTCCGGATCGTTCAGGAGACGGCCGCGGCACCCGAGACGTCCTCCAGGGCCACCGGACCTCAGAGGTTGTCGATGTATCCTCACTGGATTATATGCTCGTCCCAGCTTCGTCCTGTGGGGCCCGTCACTCGGCCCTGGGACGATCAAAAACCGGCCGGGGGCGAACAGCATGCACCCACGGGGCGGGGGGCGAGGACCCGTGGGGCCGGGTCTGAGTTCGAGTCGGCCGAAAGTTCGCACACGGGTAAGTGACCTGTCGCCAGAGCGACCTTTGGTGCGGGCTCACCAGGGTCCCCCCGATCGCTGAGCGCGGTGCGGCTGTGGCTGCGCGCTTGGGTATGGTCACCTTGCGCCCCCTCAGCCCTCGCACTGCAGGTCACGCTTCCCCAGGGTCGCTCTTGCGCGTAGACAAAGAGTGGTGACATTGGGGAAGGGGGTGTTACGACATCTGCTGCGCGCGGCCGGTTCCTTCCCCGCCGCCGGGCTCTCCCCTCGATATGATTATGGGGGCGCCTCCGCCGCAAAGGGAACCAGCTGCGTGTGCTGTGATGATAAGGTTGTGGACGACGATTCATGGAGAGGACGCATGTTGCCAAATATACTTCCCAGATGTCTAAAACCTGCTCTGAACATGTAAAAGCATGTTTCAGACATGTTCAGAACATGCTGCACACATTTTGAGCCCATGTTTATGCAGCACCCGCAAGGAGGAGGCCCCCGCTCGGCCGACGCGAGACAGGTGGTCCCGTGGGCTCGGGGGCACCGGCGGGGCCCAGGGGGGGAGCGCATCGACGCCCCAGGCGCGGTGGATGATTCGAAAAAGCAGGCGTACGTAGAATGTGTATGGTCCCTAATGGCGGGAAGCCCTTCGAGCTCGAGAGGGTTCGGGTTGAGATCTGGCGGATGCCCTGGGGTGAATCGCCCTTTCGACTCGGAGCCGAAGGGACTTCGACGTCTGTCTTGGAGGATGTGTTGGGCGGAATCGCCGTTTCGACTTCGTACCCGCGCGTTTCGACTTCTGTCGGCCCCCGATCCTCGCAGGTCCAGTTGTCTGCTCGGTCCATCGGTTGCGGATCTGCTTTGCGGGCGCGTTAGCGAATGTCCCAAGTCGTTCCCAGCGTTCGATGCCAGCGACCGTCCGGCTTGCAACCACGACGTGTGGCGCAGAGGGGAGAAAAAAAGGCGCCCATTCAGCGCCAGGCGGGGCCCAGGAGCGCGAGGCCTCGCCATCGGGGGCCCGCCCACCGCTGATCCGTCGGCGAGGCGTCGCCGATCCCGAGCCGACGTCTGCCCCCCTGGGGCCAGGGCAATTTCCATCACCGCTGCCCGTGGCCGACTTGATACCAGAGCCGGTAAAGAAGGACATCCACAATTTGACCCGCCTAACCTTTTGATCATTGGGGATATTCTGGGCAAAGCTATAAATTTCTCCAACAAGTCGGTTTCAGATGTCTGCCCCCGAAAAGTCGTCAACGGAGTTGTTGAAGATGGACCTCCTCATCCTAGTTCTCTTGGGTCCGATGGTTCTGGGCGTACCCAGGGCAAAGCTACCGCTATGTTCAGACCTACGGCATCACGCACATGTTCTGCAGCCGGCATGGGCGACAACACCAAACCGCAGCAACAAATTCATATTCCATATTCCATCTTCCTTATCTTCGTCTCCTCCTACTCCCCCGGCTTTTTCTACATCAGCGTCCCGCATGCCACTACCGAGGACTCTGGCCCGCCAGGCTACTTCGGCGCGGGCATCTCCAGCCCTGACGTCCGCAGTTTTCAAGCCAGGGAAGTTCCCAGACTCTTCGGGGAGATCCAGGCAGATGTGTTCTACACTCAAGACGATGCGCCTTGGCACATGGAATGTGGAAGGAATGCGTGGGAACTCAATTATAAAGCTAACAGAAGTGGCCCAAATAATGGAAGCTTACACCGTCGACGTAGTATGTATTCAGGAGACACAGCTACACGTAGCCGAATATTTATTTCAAGATGGGTTTCTCCATTTCTTCTCAGGCGAGACGAATTTGGAATCCAGATCCGATGGAGGAATCGGGTTCGTCGTATCACCTCGTGCGTGTTCTGCCGTCGTTGTTTTCAAAGCTGTCGGCCCAAAAATGTCCGCACTCAGAATCAAGGTCGTCGAAGGAATCTGGACGCTCATTTCCGCAAATGCCCCCCCACAGCGGGCATGACCCAGAGGTGCGGCAGACGTTTTATGTAGACATCGCACAGCACATGGATCCAACAACGCCGCACAGCTCTACGGTCGTCTTGGGGGATTACAGTGCTAAGCTGTTATGCCGAGGGGCTGGAGAAGAAGGCACTATTGGAGAACATGTTTTTCAGAGGAGCTCCACCTAAGCGAAACGTTCCACAAGTGCCGAACCAGCATTTGTTAATGGAGTTATGCGCGTTCAGTGACGTGGTGATCGCGAACGCATTTTTCGAAGGGGGGGACGCCAACAAGATCACCTACCGGAACTTGAGGGTGCAGCCGATGCAATCGATATCGCCAGATTTTTTTCACTCAAATCGATCACGTTTTATGTCATCATTCGGAAGAATGCTGGTCTACACGGGCAACTACCCTTAATAGTCATCATTCTCTAACATGCGCCACGCTGAAATTGGACGTTCAACGATCCTCACGGGCCGGCGCGCCGAAGAAGAATAATGATGGTGCTCTGGAAGACAAGCATACCCAGGATATCTTCACTGCGGCACTTCCGACTGCCATCATGGACCTACCTCTGACCCCTTCTCTGGGCGAGGCCGCGGAGAATATACAGCAAGCTTTCGGTGCCGCAGCTGGCGTTTTTCCAAGCTGTGAAATACGACCGCGGAAGCCGTGGACAAGCACGTCTACTTTGGAACTCATTGCCGAGAGGAACGCCAACCGCAAATATGGGGATTACAAAAACAAGCTCCGGCTACACAGACTGATACGGAAAGCTGGGAAGAAAGATCGCGCGGCTTGGTTGGATCGTTCAGTTTCTTCTGGCTGTTGGGGCGCGGTCAAGCAACTGCGAAGATATGATCCTCGCAAGCACGTGGGTGTCAAAGACTTGAGTTGGAATCTTTCTGATACATCGGCCAGGCCAGACACCCATGCAGAGTATTTCGAGAAGGTGCAATGGCGAGTATGCTTTGCCGACGTGGTGCCCACGGACACCGAGATGCTGGGGGGCCACTTTGGCGATCAACACCGACGCGTTTTTCTTTGAAGAGCTTCGGACAGCGATAAAGAATTTTGAAAAATAAGAAAGCAGCTGGACCTGACGACGCGCCCGCGAAGTTCTGGAAAGTAATTGCTGGAGACACATATGCCTGCGGAGCACTCCTGCGCGTGCGCCAACAATGCTTGGTGGCGAAGAACATACCATCCACGTGGAGGCGAGCCAATGTGGTGCTCTTGTTCAAGAAAGGGGACGCTACTCTACCGAGCAACTACATACCGATATCAATATCCCTTTCTGGCCGTGGGCTACAAAGCGTTGGCTTCGATGTTACACCAGAGACTCTTAGATGGCGGGTGCGAGCGGAGAATGCGAGAATCTGAATTCGGTTGCCGCCCAAATCGTGGCACGTCAGACGCATCTATGTTAGTCAGGAGGACGGTGGATGCAGCTCATATGAACAATGCGGACGGCTTATCAGTTTCATTATTAGACTGGGCGAAAGCTTTCGATCGCCTGAAGCCCGACAGCATGTGCATGGCCATGCAAAGATTTGGGCTACCACCGCCAATTCTCAACATGATTCGCGGGATATACGCAGAGCGGTATTTTATTTTTGTTGACCACTGTGGGACTTCTTCGGGGAGAAAGCAATCTGCAGGTATCGCCCAAGGTTGGCCCTCCGCCCCATACTTGTTCATTGCTGTTCAAAGCGTGATATTGCACGACGCTTTGGACTCGCAGGAGCTGCAACCAGAGCCAGATTATGTTGTCACCAGTGGCATCTTGTTCGCATACGACACTCTATTGGCATCGCAACACCCCCGGAATTTACAGCTCATGCTTGAATCCATTGCGTCGGAAGGTCGTAAATATGGCATGGATTTCAATTGGGTCAAAACAGCGCATCTGAACATATCATCAATGGGAGAAGTGAGAAGACCCACGGGCGAAAACATCATCCGTCAGGGAAGCAGTTTACTTGGGTGGGCTCATTTCTTGCGACGGAAAAGCTGGGGGTGAGTTGTCTCGGAGGTTGGGGGAAGGAACGAACATCTTCAAGCAGCTGCAAAAAGTTAAGGTCTCACGCCGCCATTGGGTGGAAAAGGAACTATAAGATTTACCATGCTTGCGTCTTGAGCAAGGTATTGTACTCTTTGGATGCAGTACGGTTGCGCAAAGCCGAGAGAGCGCGATTGGACGCATGTCACTGCAACTGCATCGGGATGATATTTGGCATTCCGCCGTCTTTTATTTCCAGCGTCGCCAACGCCGCCGTCCTGGACAAGGCCGGTGCGAAGCCGCTTTCTGACGTGTTATTAGACAGACAAGTGGCACTGTACACCAAGATCGCGAATTCAAGTGGATCTTGTTTGACAAGAGCATACTCTGCAACGCTGACGGCTCTCCCAGGCAAACGGCTTTCTGGAGTGCCTCGCTGCCAGTCTTGCGCGTCGCAGTCGGGCGCTCCATCCTCTGCTTCACAGTCGGGCGCTCCTTTGCCTGCCTCGCAGTCGTGAGGCGCTCCTTGTTTCTCTCTGTCACTGAGTGATGCCTCGCTGCCCGTCTCTGCTTCGCAGTCGGGCGCTTTATTCTCCTGCTTCACAGTCGTGGGGCGTTCTCGCTCTGATCATTTTCCTGAGGCGTCTCCAATCGTTCGCTCTTCTGCTAGCGCGTCCTTCGGATGATTGGCTTCGTGGAGGTGGCGGTGCCCGTGGCCAACGAAAAACCATCTCGCCCCGGCGAGCCAGCCCCCCCCCTTTTCTCGGCGGCGAGGGAGGGGGGAAGTTAGAAGGCGTGGGCCCCTTCGGAAAGCTCGGAAGGCCCCCGGCCTTCTAAGAAGGCTTCCGAGCCTTCCCCGAAGACGCAAATATCCTTTCAGAAGGCCTCAGGCCTTCTGAGAAGCCCCGCTGCCTTCTGAGAAGGTCTTCTCCTCCTCGCTCCCCCCCCTCGCTCGCCGCCGACCTTCGTTCCCCCTCTAAGGTGGCCCCAGGCGCACCCGCGCCGTCCTTGGGGCCGGTCGGTCGCGGACACCATCGCGAGCTGTTGTGTTCGGCCGGGCTCCGCACATGTTTTCGGGGTGCCGGGGCCAGCAGATACAGAGCCGAGACACCGGGATGCCGGTGTCGGCCTCAAAAAAGCGTTCCGCCCGGGGTCGGCCAGACTCAGGAGGGGGAAAACACGCGGGCACGATGGAATGTCGACGTCCGCGAAAGTATGGAAAAGGATGGGAAGGGGGGGAAGAGGAACACCCAGAAAATGAATTGAAATATTGGGAATCTTGGGACTCGTGTGTATTGTAATGGCCTCCGGCCAGTGCCGCCGATCCGGGACGCTTCCGTTGCTGCCAGAAGCGCGCGATGGCGGTGGTGACCGGCGACGACGGCGAGCGGTGAGGATGATGAGGAGGATTGGGAATGGAGGCAACGGAGTAGGGTGAGGCGGAGAAGGAGGAGGAGGAAGAGGAGGAGGAGGACAAGGCAGAGGATCATGATGAGGTGAAGGCGGGTGGATGGGGGGAGGGGCAGGAGTAATTAGCAGGATGCTGGCGATGATGAGGAGCAGGAGGAAGGTGGAAGTGGAAGAGGGGGAGGGGGAAAGGAGCAACATGACAAGGGTGAGGCAATTTTCGGCGGTTGCTGGGGATGTTCGGCGGTTGTTGGAAAGCCTCGTTGGGGCCAGGTGTTGGCCCTCTTTGGGTTGACACCTCGCCGATTTGGAGCGCTTTCTGGAAAGGTTTGTGCTGGAGTTGTCTGCGTCGCAGTTCTTTGTGGAGCCTTGTGCATCACCGGCCTCTGCTGGGAACCCTGGTGTTTTGAGGGTATATGGGGCCTTCGCGCGGTCTCCTGCGGGTCCTTGTGATTTAATGGATGTGAACGACACCGAAGACGGGAGAAGGTGTGAAAGCGTGGGAAAACCTGTTGCGTTGCAGCGCTTGTGTTCAGACGTAAGCGTTGCGGAAGCAGTGGGGTCGGTTTTGGGTTTCTCTGGTGCCGGGGGGAGTTTTGGAGGCAGTTTGGAGGCCTCTAGAAGGCGTCTTGGATGCATTATTTGAGATCCCTGATGGCCTTTAGGGGGCTTCGGGGGGCCTCTTCGGGGCCAGTTGGAAGCGTTTTGGGCCTCTTCAGGCGTCCTGGGGCCTTTGGGGGGCCTCTGGGGGCTTCTTGGGCCGTCTTCGGCATTTTTGTCCGCCGTCTTGGCGCCCTCTCCAGGCACCTCTTGGGCCCGTCCTGGGGCCCTCCTGGGTCTTTTCAGAGGACCCTCCTGGGCCATATTGGGCCCTTCTTGGGCCGTTTTGGAGCCCTCTTGGCAGCTTCTTGGGCCGTTTTGGGGCTCTTCCCCAGGAGATTGGACACTTGTTGTTTGTTAGGGCATGTTTTGGGGGGCCGTCTCAGTGTTTTTAAGGGCATTTTGGAAGCTTCTGGAACCGTCTTGGGGATATCTTGGGCGTTTAGCGGCCCCCTCTTGGCCCATGTTGGGGTCCTCCTGGGCGAGGGAGCCGTCCTGGAGTGAGCTGGGGTTCCGACTCCGCCCTGGGAATTAAATTGGCCCCCCCCACCCCGGCAGAGCCACCCCAGCACCCACCCCCCCAGTAGAGCTGAAGCTCAGGAATTGAGGCCCAGGCTGTTCAGAGGGTCTTTGAAACTCACGCGCCGGATCGGCGGATTCATTTTTGTGTCCCAGGGCCCCTTTTACAGACTTGGTTGTCGGCCGGGCCTGGGGCCACAGAGGGGCCAAAATCCCTCGTGTTGCTCGCTCCGAACGCCGCCAACGTCGAGAGCTGAGCCCCGCGAGCATGCGCGCGCGCGGGAAGGCGCCAGAGCGCGAAGCGCGCAGCGCGAAGCGCGAAATGAAGTGACTCAGTTCGGGGAAGCGTAAGACTCGAGTACGTCGGAGCCCGGGTTCGCATACGTTTTTTTGGCGAGCCCGTCCTGAGTTTTGACGGTCCAATTTTCGTGGGATGTCTGCATCGGGAGCCCGCATCAAATTTCAGACTGGGTCGCGTCATTTGTATGATGGCCCCGTCGGGCCAACCCGAGTCCCCCGAATCCGAGTCTTACGTCTCCCGACCAGCGTACGGTAGGTTCGCGTCGTGTCGACCGGCGGCGACCCCGCCGCCGGCGTTCAAGGTTGAACGCCGGCGGCGGCCCAGAATCGGTCGATGTTGAACGATTGGACGTTGCGGAAACGGCCGATCGTTCAAGGTTGAACGATCCCTGCGGTGTCAAAAACCAACGCTGGGGTCGGCACGACACGAACCTGCCGTATGCTGTCACATTGTCTTCACCACTATAGTCGTCACACCCCTCCAAGCACGCGTCTGAAGCGGAGGAAGGGTGGATATTGGTCAACAGAATTAAGGGGAGCACGTCCCGACCAGAGCAACGCGCACCACGACCAAAAGGACGCCAGCGACGACGACGACCACGGCCACGAGGCACGCTTACGATCCTCACCGAAGCACGAATTTTTGGAACGGGCCTCCCCCCCCCGCGAGGTTTGGCAAGCAGCACCACGTCGTTGAGCGGTGCTCAGAGCCTCCCGAACACAGCCCCCCCTGGAGCAGCAGCCAGACGGTCCGGGTGTTGCCCCCCCACGCCTTACTGAGTCTGGGGGCGCGTTTCGGCACCATGTCGCCCAACGTCGTCACGGCCACCGACAGGGGAAAAGGCGGGCAGTGGCCGACGCGTCCGAGAGCTAAGGAGTTCTGAGCGCCGTGGCTCAGAGAGCGGGCGAGACAGACAGACGCGGGGACATATAGATACATAGGTAGACGGGCGGACAGTTGAGGGATGGTGAGGATGATGATCGGTAGGTCTGGGGGGACATCCTCATCTTCCTCCTGCCTCTCATTCTTCCCTCCTCCACCTTCTCCCTGGCCTGCCCCAGGGCGCGTTCTGACCAGGATTCCGAGACGAGTGCATCCTAGGCGACGGTTGCCCCAGGAGGTCCAATTCAACAAAGGCAGAAACGTCAAGACCATTATCCTTCCTTCTTCCTTCTTATCCCCCAGCGCCAGCGAGAGAAGGAGGCAGGAGGAAAGAGAAGAAGGAGGAGGAGGAGGAAGAGGAGGAGGAGGAGGGGAAGAACAACAGAGGAGGACGACCACGCTGAGGAGGAGGAGGATGACGACGACGACGACGAAAACGACGACGACGACGACGAGGGGGAGGAAGAGAAGGCAGGATGAGAGAAGGGAGGGAGAGGAGAGGAGGGAGGAGGGAGGAGGAGCGAAGGAGGGAGGGAGGCAGGGAGGCAGGGAGGATTAGGAGGAGGCGTAGGACGAGGACGAAGACGAGGAGGAGGGAGGAAGGAGGAAGTGGGGGAGGAGGATGAGGGCCATGGTAACCCCAAGACGCACCAACGATTTGACAATAAACCCTCTCTCTCCAAGTTTCCTCTTCACGGGTCCCTGCAAGACTGTGTTTCCACTGCGGGAGGTGCCCCAGTGGAAGACAAGCGTTTGAGGATCCTCAATCGTGCCAAAACATGGTTCTTGGGATTTCAGCGCCGCGAATCAACGTCATCGTTGCGTCTTGACAACCCTAAATCGTACGAGAACACCGTTCTTTGGACTTCAACACCGCGATTGAACGTGACTATTGCGTCCTGACCATCCTGAAGCGTGCCAGAGCGCTTTCCCTGGGACCCAATCGCACGAAACCTTGAAGCTGCTGCCATGCTTCAAGACGATAGTGCGCCGCGCTGGGACGAGAGCCACATATTGAGAAGGAGCGGCCCCCCATCCGTGAAACGGTTGCGAAGTTATGACACGAATTCTCGCGGCAAGAATGCGAGAATCAAAGTTTGAAACGAACCGCCCTCCATTTTTGAAGCTGCTGTAAGCTGTTAATACGAACGTGCGCGGTGCCAAGGCGTGGGACATTTTGAAAACGGCCCACCCTCCTTTGTGAAGCTGTTGCAAACGTTTGTGCGAATGCACGCGGCACTGAGGCGACAGCGACAGTTTGAAAACGGCCCTCCCTCCATCCGTGAAATTGTGGCAAGCTTCAAGCTTACGGATCATAGATGGTGAGGAAGTCTGAGGCGAAACGCCCGGCCCGCCCTACACACACGTCTGGGGGTGCGACAGGAAGGAGCTGTCTGTAAGGAACAGGGATGGAGGAGGAGGAAGAGGGGGAGGACGAGCAGGAGGAAGTGGAGGACGAGGGGGAGGACGACGACGACGACGAAGACGGGACGAGTGGGAGGACGAAGACGACGACGACGACGACGATGACGACGAAGACGGCGGTGGCGGCGCCTCTGCCGCCAGGCGCTGGCGATCCGGAGGATCGGCAGCCGGGGGAGGTCCGGCAGCGAGCAGCTCGAAGACAGGCCCGGGGGGTCGCAGCCGCGCCCTGTTCCGGGCATCCTGACAGATAGTTCTCAGGAGTGGGGGCGACACGCAGAGGCACAAATAACTGTCGACACTAGGGAAATATGGGGAAGGGGGAGTGGGGGAAGGCGAGAACCCAGAGAATATGGGAAACGGGGTGGGGGTCGCAGCCGCGCCCGGTTCCCGGCATCCGTCAAGCAGTGGCGGAGCGTCCTGGCTCGCGGGTAGGGCTACCAAAGAATGTTCTAAGAACCTTTTGTGGTTTGCACGAACTGTTCTTAGAACATTTCTGGCTGGGACCGTCTTGTTTCAACACATCGGGCTTATGTTCTAAGAACATCGTTGTTCTTATTGGAACGTTATGAGAACATTTCGTGGTAGGCCTATTGGAATGCCTGGACGGTCGGTACCTGCTCAAATCCTGACAAATAGTTCTCTGGAGTGGAAGAAACACACAGACACACATAATTGCTGATACTAGGAAACCATGGGGAAGGGGGGGGAAGACGAGAACCCAGAGAATATGGGGGAAAGTAGTCATGGGCAGTCCTGGGACTCGTGTCTACTCCTTTTGTGTGTCCCTGGGTCCCTTCAAGCTCGAAGAGCAAGGGCGGAGCGAGACTCCTCCTACGTTTCTACGTTTCTCGCTATGCAGCGTCTTGAAGACTCCTCCTCTCCCTCCCCCTCATCCGTCGACAGCCTCTCATCGCCGTGTGGGCTGCGGGCTTGTGGCTGGGGCCACACAGGGGCCCGGGCGCTGCAGCCCGGCGTCGGCCTCTGCCAAGCAGGGTATCTCCTAGCAGTGAGTTAAGAGTTCAAGCCGTGAGGTAGCACTACGCTGCCGACACTGCGTAACGCAGGGGGATTTAACACTACGTTATTGGCATTACCTTGTTGGCGTTGAGAGGAGGGGCTGTGCGCTTCTAATAGGTGGCACTGCGCTGTTGACGCTACGTTGCTGGCATTACGTTGTCTGTACGCCTCTAATATGTGACGCTGCGCTGTTGACACTACGTTGTTGGCAGTACGGTGTTGGCAATAAGAGGAGGGATTTTACGTTTCCAATATGTGACAGTGCTCTGTTGACACTACGTTGTTGGCACTACGTTGTTGGCATTAAGAGGAGAGGTTGTGCTCTTCTAATATGTGACATGGCGCTGTTGACACTCCGTGTTGACACTACGTTGTTGACATTGCGCGGTTGACAATGCGTACTGTTGCTTGACAGTGCGCTGTTGGTTCAGGCTACGTTGCTTGAGGTTACGCAGTTGGTTGACACTTCGCTGTTGACACTACGCTGTTGAAACTACGCTGTCGACACTGCGTTATTGACAGTACGCTCTTGGTTGTTGACAATGCTATTCACACGGCCCACTGTTGCTTGACAGTGCGCTTTTGGTTCAGGCTACGTTGCTCGAGATTTTGCTGCTGGTTCACACTACGCTATTGACACTACGTTGTTGCAACTACGCTGGTGACAGCACGGTGCACTGTTGCTTCACAGTGCGCTGTTGATTCAGGCTACGTTGTTTGAGATCTCGCTGTTGACACTACGCTATTGGCACTACGATGTTGCTACGCCGTTGGTTGACACTACGCTGTTGACACTGCAGTGTTGAGACTACGATGTTGCTACGCCGTTGGTTGTCACTACGCTGTTGCTACTGCGATGTTGACACTACGCTGTGGACGCTACGCTGTCGACACTACGCTGTTGGCATCACGCTGTTGACACTACGCTATCGAAACTACGCTGATGATGTAATTCGCTGTTGTTAAGAGTTACTCTCCTTCCCAAGTCTCGCGACCTCCATATCGCGACCGCGGTCATTGATGTTTCGGTCCGGACGAAATGGAGGGGATAGGGAGAGGGGGGGCCTACGAAACTTGCTGTATGCAGCTGGTTTCGGCCCCGCCGCCGAGCCGATTCCTCGATACATGAGCGCCTCCCGGCGCCAGGAGGCGCCAGGAAAACCAGCTGCGTGCGCTGATGTTCTACCTTGCCCTTTGCTATCCTACCCTGTCGTCCTCCCCGAATGTTGCGCAGGGGGAGGGGATGAGGAGGAGGCGGAGGAGGAGGAGGATCAAAGATTTCGTGGTGTTGGATGCGCTCTTTGCCACTCCTTCTGGGCCTCCTGGGAGACCTCCAGGGGCCCCGGAGGACTTTCCGAGAGTCTTCACATCCTGGCGTCGTGAAACGAAAACAACCAGCTATTTACTGGTCCTGGGGAGGCGGAAGGGGAGGAGGAGGAGGAGGAGGAGGAGGAGGAGGAGGAGGAGGAGGAGGAGGGGAGGTGGAAGCCTAGCAGGAGACGTGGACCTTCCCAGGAAGGGCCTTGCCTTCGAGGATCGAAGGAGTTGTCATCTCTTCCTCGGTGGAAGACGGCGAGAGGGCGGCGGAAGTGAAGCGAGGTTGCCTCCACCGGCGGCAGCCAGCGGAGGTGCGGCGGAAGGCGGCGGAAGTAAAAAGCGCGCCCCCAACAGATGACAACAGTTTTGGGTTCATGGTTTCCGGAGTCCGCCATCTGATGTTGTCTCTTGTATGTGCCTCTGGGGAGCCCTCTGGGAGCTGGTTCTGGGAGGAAGTGGACGGGCTGACCCAGACTTCCACACGTCGCGAAGGAGTTGCGACGGGTGGTTCTCTCCCCGTGTCAGGGTTGGGCTCTTGCAAAAGCCTACCGGCATGGTCAGGGCATTCAATCCGTGGCAGCACTGCTGGCCAGGAGTTTTCACTCTGGCATCTGCTGCTCCCAGCTGTGGGCGCAACTGAAGAGCGGGCCCAGATTCACACGCGAAGCCCGCTGCAGCCAGCTTGGAGGACACGTTGCTGTGCGCTCGCGCGCTACGTGCACGAATCTGGGGCCTCTGTCGTGTTGGCTGTCAAGGTTGGTTTCCTCTTTCCCCCTCCCCCACCCCGTCCCTCCCTCCTCCCCCGCATCCTCTTCCAGACGGGCTCGGCAGACACCGGGGGGAGCAAGACGGAAAGCCTGCGCAGTCGACGTGGAGGAGCGGGTGCAGGATGGCGGGCGAGGGACGCCGGGGCAGCGCGGACAGAGACTGCGTCGGGGCTCGGAGAAGGAGGGGAAAGCAGGACGCTCAGACGACGAGGAGGGGAGGAGGAGCGAGCAGGAGGCGGAGGGAGGGGAGGAGGGGTAGAGGTTTGCCCTGCTGTGTGCACGGGCGAGTCTGTGCCAGCAACGTCTGCATGTGTCTTGGCAGGAGGTTGGAAACACACCAACCAGACGACGCTGGCACCCGAGGAGCTCCTCGAGTTCTCCCAAGTTGCTGGAAGGTCTCTTGCTAGTCATGCTGAGTCCGTATCTGCCCTGATACGCACGTCTCGAAACGCGTTACGTGCCGCTTTCAAGACGTCCGTGTCAACATGCTGCGTGTTGGCTCGACACGTGTAGGTCCACGTTCTGGCAAGCGTATCTCGCCAGACCTACGTGTTCGGTCTGCGTGTTGAGCTCCGTGACAACACGCTGCGGGTTGCACGTTGCGTATCGGGGCAGCTGAGGTTCAGGCTGTTCGTCCTGCCACCACTCGTCTGGGGTGAAGGGCGACAGCGCTGAGTTAGTCGTGGGCCTCGGCAGGTCCCTGGAGACCCTCACTGTTCTCTGGATTGTAGGGTGCGACACCAACGTGGACCCAGACTGTGATGGCATCATGGCATGGTGCTCCCAACTTGGGGCGGCGGTGGTGGCACCTGCGCTGGCAACCTGTTCGGCAGGAGCTGGCAGCACGCTCCTTGCTGTCACATGACTTAAGCCAGTGTGTTGACAGAATCCAGGTGCCCCACGACGCGCCGATCAGCCCCCACTCGCCTGTCGAACTGTGGATGACAAGGATTCGCCTGCCCATGCCCATCAATGTTGCGATCAAGGGGAAGACGTTCCCCACCAAGCGCCCTATAGGCTTGAAAGGGAAGCCCGAGGATAGACTCGGGAGATTGGAAGCAGGCGATACCAACATCGGTTTCTTGGAGTCTTGGGCGCAGGGGCTTGACAATGCTGAGTTGGGACGGTCCAGGGTGCTTGATATATTTGGGGGCACCAGGGACGCGTATGTTAGGATGTCTCAGGGCTTCCAGCTGAAGGTTCTCTCGCTCGAGCCGCTGGAACTCCCCGTACGTCACAAATAGTTGTTCTCTAACTCAACTCATCGACTTCGTGCGTGGCGATCGGTGGGGGCAATTCTGGCTAAGTTGGAGCTGCGCATCGAGAGAAGTTTCGGAATGAAGCTATGGGCGGAAGTCAGAGCTGGTCTACTGAGACTGGACGTGCAGGTCCTGCAGCCTCAGCTTAGCGTCGTAGCGCCATCTCCCAGTGACATCGTCCAGGTTATCGAGGCAACCTCAGGCCGCGAGACTGGCATGTTTTCTGCTGTCAGCCCGTTCGGCCCACGATCACCTGATGGCCTAAACCTCGCGCAGGACTGGTCGCAATGGAAGAGCTGGGCTAAGGACTCCACTGCCAAGGGATGCAAGGCCGCGCATGCTTACTAGAAGGAGAAGAACCCAGCGGTGGGTCCTCACAGCACCGAGGGATGGGAGCTCCAGGGGGACAAAACGACCGATTCACTGCAGAGGGAATCGGGCAGCGATTGGCAGCACCATCGTTTTTGTCTCACGCAGGAGCAGGTTAAGCTCGGCACGGAGGCGGGCCCCCCTGGGATACCATATAAGTTGATTACCGTGTGGGCCATCAACAAGTCCAAACATGATTCAACAATTCGGAGCTGATGATTGGAATCCCAGGTCATGGACGGTTTGCCCGAGTGGGTTCTTGTGTAGGCTGGTTCACACTATGCGTTCTTGTGAGAAGGAGCCTTTTGTGATACCCAGCAAGTTCCCACCAGCATCGCCTTCAAGGTAAGTCTGACGGTGCTGGATTGCGCCCGCTTTCCCTCCTTCTATCGTTGTCCAGGTTTCGGGGCAGGGTTCGTCGATGTGAAGTGCGCATGGGAGCTCAGCCATCGAACCCCTGAGTTCTGGGGAGTCAGGAACAAAGACTGAGACCGAGCGGGTTGGCAGCACTCGATGCTCACGGAATTCGAGAGAGCACGTCACTTTGAATCTGCCACGTTGCGCATGGGTCTTGATGAGTTCTACGGGAGGGTGGTGCCAGGAATTCTGTTTATCGTGGCAGAGGAAGAAGGATCCCACCTTGGTCTCATCATGGCTGCTATCGCCCTCTATGCTGGACCACGTGCCATATCGTTTGCTGGAGCCTGCTCGAACACCTGCATTGCGTCAGTGGCACGGTCCCAGCAGGTTGCAATGTGGCCACAAGTTTCGGTAAGACTGTCTTGTCTCGTGTGTTGTGTGGTCTGGTTATCGACGACGGTGATGTCTCGTTGCAGAAGTTGGGCACAGCCATATGTACTACTGAGCAGCCCAGAGGCGCGGGCATTCAGATCAAGGACGGATTTTGTAAACTTGAGTTGGCCCTCTCGGGCAAGAGAATCAATTGCCTCGCCTTCGCCCAGGACGTCGTCAAAGGATTGGGGATGTCTTGTACGTCATTGCAGCTCTTCAGTAAGATCTCGGTCCGGCCCCTTTGGGCGCGACGTCGTCCACAGGAGGATCAGAAGGAACCTTGCGGCGCTCAAAAAGCTCAGGAAGTCTAGGAGGAGATATTGCCGGTGCGGTTGTGGGCAATATCTATCGTGCTGGGCCTCAAGCCGAGGCTTTCTGGGATACCGCTGTTGCTGAGTTGACTCCCAGACAGGCGCGCTCCCATAGGATCTCTGCGTGCAGGAGATGGCGCGAGCAGAAAGTCGGAGCCCTCACCTCATCCAGATTGAGGTCCGTCGAATGAGGCAAGCACGTCGATCCATATCGTATTTCTCATTCGATCGTTGTGTATCACTGGGCGAATGCAATTTGGGGCAGTTCCCCAACGCTGGAAGTTATGCAGATTGTTCTTGAGCAAGCATGCGATCATGTCACGGCTTCGAGCAGGCCGCAGGTCTCTGCCACTTCACGGGCACTTGCGCTGCCGCTCCGAGATAGGATGGTTGCCCGCGTCTGCTCGCGCGTTCCGCGGAGCTGATGGGGATGACATCGACCTTGTAGCACTAGGACCGCGTGCTGGGCGTGACCTGGCGGCTATTGAGGCAGGGCACGGGGCGGACATGAAGGCGTTGAAGCATAGGATTGAGTTGAATAAAGTTAGATGCGGGCCTCCTCTCTTGGATGAGGATTGGAAGGCTACTAACGCTTATACAATGAGCTATGACACGACCATCACCAAAGTTGTGCCCAGAACATGTGTTCCTTGGGATGTTGAACTCAATGTAGGTTGCTCGAGCAGAGGGCTGTTGAAAGCAATGAGTAGGCCCAGGAACGCTGTATCATGGGAGGTTCGAGCGCGACGCCTTCGACGCGGACAGGCGTGCGCACCTCGCCCAGTCTGCTCGGAAGGCGGCAGATCGGGCGCGTGACTTGTGCCAGGATCTTGAGGAACTTGCTGCTGGGATGTTGCCAGGTCCGCGATAGTTTGCACAGCCTGCACTGAGTGAGGGCGAGGTCAAAATGCATTGATTTCATACGTCATCGGATGATACATTGTCTGGCAATCTTTTCACTGACGGATCGGCCGTCGACCCCACCACCTCGCGGTTCGAGCTGGATGGTCGATTTGCATGGTCAATGGTTATGGTGACCTCTTGTGCGTGGCCTTTGGGCCTCTGTCTAGGCATTTAGTTCGATTGCAGCAGGCGCGCGATGGCGAGGGCCACGCCTGCATGATGGCTGCCTCCCTGGTCGAAAATGTTGGGGCATTTTTTCGCAGCGTTGGGACTCTTGGGTGCGCGTGGGACTGCAGGCCTCTGTTTCGGCCAGCAACCCGAGGGCCCACGTATGGTCCAGAGCGTGGCATGTTTTTGAGAATGGCCCCACGGCCATAGAAACCATGGCACGCGCCACCTGCGGCGATGCTTCTGAAGGTCGCTCGTCACACTTCGAACGAGCTGGCGACTGGCATGCTGACAGGTTTGCCACGGAAGGCGTTGCATGTCACACCACCATCGAGCCTGCCAAAGTTTCGTTTCAGACTTGTGTGCAGGTGCAGGAGGATAGCGCAAGACGAGGAGGCGCCCGAGACGTCCCGATGAGTCAGAGATCACTGGCCGACGGTCAGGGGTTTCCTGAAAAGGCGGAGGATGACGGCAGGGACAGTCAAGGGCAACCCATATATGCTCGAGAAAGAGCCTGAGGGTCAAGCTTGTAGTGAAGTGGCAGGTGTAAAGAATTAGCTCAGGGGTGCGACAAGGTGCTCCTACGTTTTAAGGATAAAGGAGGACAAGGGCGAGGAGGGAAAGGACTAAGAGGGGGAGGAGGAGGCGGAGGAGGAGGAGGAGGAGGAGGAGCAGCAGGAGGAGAAGAAGGGAGAGGGAAAAGGAGAATGAGAGAATGAGGCGAAAACCAACGAGAGAGGATGGGGATATTCAGGACGAGGAGGAGGAGGAAGAGGAAAAGCAGGAGGAGAAGGAGGAACGGTCACGGATGGGGGAGGCAGGGGAGGAGGAGGATTTTGAGGAGGGGCGGATGGAGGAGGGACGGATGGAGGAGGGGGAGGAAGAGCGAATGAGGAGGAGGATAGGAGGTGGAGGCGGACGCGGAGGTGGAGGTTGCTTCCCAGACCTGGCCGCCGCGAGGCAGAGGTCTGCGTCACACACCCCTGGCGGACGCGGGCGCCGGGCCTCGGCGACGTCCCTGGCCCCCCCGTGGCCTTTTGTTGATCTCCCTGTTTCTCGCCGTCGTCGATGTTCTGCGAAGCCTCTCTAGCTTGCCCCCTTTTCTTTTCCATGTGTATGTGTAGACACAGACTCATATTCACACAGTATCTGCGAGTCTACGTATATTTCCATATGTATGTAGACATGTATGTGTGTATGTACGCATGTCTTTATATACATGTATATGTGCAAACATATTTACATATATGCATTTAACACATATGTATACTCATAATAATATATATATATATATATATATAAATATATATTTATATACATATGTATATATGTATATATATATATATATATATATATATATATCCAGTTGCGCTGCCGCGCGATTCCGCCGCCGTGCTCGGGCGGGCGGGTGGACGGGGGGCTTGTTTTGGGAGTGGGAGGGTGGAAGGTCCATGGAGCCCCCCTTCCCCAAGCTCTGTATTTGGGACTTCTGTTTTTGTCCTGAAGGCCAACAGCGCAAGGACTTGGCCACCAAAGTGAACGAACGCAGCTTGGGTTCGATGCGTCGGGGGGCGTGATTCAGTGTTTCGCAAAATTCGACAGGGTCAGGCGCACACCAACCGCATCCATATATGCAGATCTGCATATGCTAGCCAGCGTGGGTCCCAGGCAGTGAGTTTCTAGCAATCGATGTTGCGCAACTTATGTTTGTAACATTTTCTGTGACGCAATAAACGTGGCGCGATCGATGTTGTGCAATCGCGGTTGCGCAACATGTGCTACGCAATCTATGTTATGCAAAGTTGGTGAAGCATTGTAGGTAGTGCAGTATACGTGGTGCAAGTGATGTGGTCAGTACATGTTGTGCAAACTATATTGTGCAACCGATGCTCGGCAACAAAGGTGGAGCAAACGATGTTCAAACTTACGTTGTGAATATACGTTGACCAAACTATGTTGTGCAGCATCTGTGGTGTATACGTGTGGTGTGCAATGCAATTCGCGTGATGCAATATGTGTGGTGCAATCTGCGTTGTGCATCCTATGTGGCGCAATCTATGTAGTGCAATCGGCATGGTGCAATTTGTTGCATTGCAGGTCACATTGCATAATTTGAAGCTGTCAATTCCATTAGTCGCGCAATCATCTCACCCACACGCCAGTAACTTGGTTTGCAAAATCCATGCGGTTGCGATTGCGATGAACGCTTGGCGCTGGCTGGTACATCTCTGCGGCCGCCTTGGCGCGCGCACGCTCGCGCGCACAGCAGCCAGCTAGTTTGGCACGACCGAAGGCGTCCGTGGTGGCGCTGACCGCTAGGGATTCCCCAGCGCGGCTCACAAGCCGTACAGGCCCGCGGATGTTTCATTGCGAGTCGGTGGCTCGGGCAGCCGCAATCCCATGGTCACGTCGACATTTGCGGCAACTGCGATGCTTGGAGCGGTGATGGTGACGATGGTGGCGGTGACGGCGGCGAGGCCAACGCCGGCGCCGATGCTGGTCACGCCAATCACAATGATGATGTCCTCGTCTCGGTGTTTAAGCTTCTGGAGTGATTTCGACATGCGCGCGCGGCCAGCGCGCGCGAGTAGCCCGCATGTTCTTTTGTTGGGAAGGATCGTGCCCCCCCCCCCCGCAGGCGTGCAAAGGCGTTCGAATGATTTCGACACGTGCGCTCGAGGGGCCTGCTTGGTCGCATGTGATGAATCCGTTGAGAACAGATGGTTGCCGTGGGAATTCGCAAGACCGCGCGCAATTCCTTGGCGAAGGCATGTTGGACAACGTGGGCCCCGCAGCGTGCTTCTAGCATGTTGTGCAATCTACGTGGTGCCGCATCTGTGGTGCCACCTATGTTGTGCAACCCATGAGGTACGCAATTTTTTGCGACGCAGCCAACGTGGAACAACATGTGTGATGCAGCCGATGTTATGCAGCTGTTGTTGTGCAACTTCTGGTGTGCATTCTGCGTTGTGCAGTAGTCGTTGTGCCCGTGCGTGTCAATCGGCGTGGTGCAAGCTACGGTTTGCAATGTATGTTGTGCAACGTAGGTTTTGCAATCTATGTGGTCCGCAGTCTATTCAATACACTCGGCGTGGTGCAATATATGTAGTGCAGCGAATATTGTGCAACTTTTGTGGTGCAGTATATGTGGTGCAACCTGGTTCGTCCAATATTTGCCGTGCAATCTACCTGGTACAATCCACCCATGCTCACCTTGAAGTTGTCCTGTCCACTGCTCGCGCGAACATCCCACCCACCCACCCTCGACTTGGTTTGCAAAGCCCATGCGGCGGCGATTGCGATGAGTGCTTGGCGTTGGCTGGGGCATCTCTGCAGCCCGCGCATGCACGCGCGCGCAGCGGCCAACTACTTAAGCGCGACCGACGCAGCCGCGGTGGCGCTGACCACTGGGCACATACCAGCGGGCACTTCATTGCGAGTCGGCGACATGTGCGGGCGCGGTATCACGGCAACGCCGACAACGGTAGACACGGTGATGCTAGTAGCGATGTTGGCGGCGATGTTCGCACCGACGAATGCGCCGCCAGTGACGGCACGGATGCTGATCACGCCGATGACGGCGTCCTCGCTTCGGTGATGAAGGTTTTCGAAAAGAGTTTGACATGCGCGCGCGGCTGACGCGCGAGAGTGGCCCGCATTGTTTTCTTTGACGCGATCGTGTCCCCGCCATCACGCGCGCAAAGGCGTGCGTATGTTTTCGGCATGCGGCGCCAGAGGCCCGTCTGGCAGAATTCCCTTGGAAACGTTGAAACACCGATGGTTCTCCGAAGACGTCGCAAGAGCGCGAACGCGCGTTTATTGAACATTCATGTTGCGAAACGATGTGCTTTCATATGTGAATTGGACCGTCGGCTTTGACATCGCAACGACACCGCATGTTTCCGACAGGTTTCGGCATGCGCGCGCGACGACGCGCGCGTGTGCACTTCGCCCCATGTTTTGCAAAAAGGATTATCGCGACGGCACGTGCGCAAAGGGTGTTCGAATGATTCCGACATGCGCGCGGGCGAAACCCGTTTGGGCCCCCCGTGCAGCCAGCGCGCGCGGGGCACCTGATCGGGGCAGTCGTCCGCCCGTGGGATCCCTATAGTTCGGCATTGACGGAAACCTGGGATCACTACAGACAAAATGTTGTTTTTACTTTCGTGGTGATTCGCAGGTTTCCCATAATTCGCAGGCCTTCGGCACCAGGACTTTTGAGGAGGAGCAGGTGGCCAGAAAAGGCCGCCCACGCAGCGACTCGTGCTGCCCCGGGCCCGCCCCTCGCAAGGCCGGCGAAGACGGTGGGCCGACCTCCTCCTCCTCCTCCTCTTCTTCCTCCTCCTCCTCCTCTTCTTCCTCCTCCTTCTCCTCCTCCTCCTCCTCTTCCTCCTCTTTCCTCCTCCTTCTCCTCCTTCTCTTCTCCTCCTTCTCCTCCTCCTCCTTCTCCTCCTTCTCCTCCTCATCCTCCTCCTCCTCCACCTCCTCGTCCTCCTCCTCCTCTTCCTCTCCTCCTCCTCATTTTCCTCTTCCTCTCCCCTCCTCCTTCCTCTCCTCCTCCTCCTCTCCTCCTCCTCCGCCTCCTCCTCCTCCGGCTCCTCCTCCTCCTCTTCGTCCTCCTCCTCCTCGTGCTCTGGCTCCCCCACCTCCTCCTCCTCCTCCTCCTCCTCCTCCTCCTCCTCCTCCCTCCCTCCCCTCCGCCTCCTCCGCCTCCTCCCCCACCTCCTCCTCTTCTCCTCCTCCTCCTCCTCTTCTCCTCATCCTCCGCCTCCTCCGCCTCCGCCTTCTCTCTCCTCCTCTTCCTCCTTCTTCTTCTCCTCCTCCTCGTTCTGCTCCTCCTCCCTCCTCCCTCCTCCTCCTCCTCCTCGCCTCCTCCCCCACCTCCTCTTCCTCCTCCTCCTCCTCCTCCTCCTCCTCCTCCTCCTCTCCTCCTCCTCCTCCTCCGCCCTCCTCCGCCTCCGCCTCCTCCTCCTCCTCCTCCTCCTCCTTCTTCTTCTCCTTGTCCTCCTCCTCCTCCTCCTTTTCCTCCTCCTCCTCCTCCTTCTCCTCCTACTCTTCCTCCTCATCCTCCTCCTCCTCCTCCTTCCGTCCTCCTGGAAGCACTCCCTGGACAAGCCAGCGACACTCCTGGGGAGCGGGTCCAGGCAGCGCAATTAGCACGTAGGGGCGAGCCCAGGCAGCCCAGGGCTCACACACCCCGAAGGCGCTTGGCGTCGACCGAGCCCACGTCGGCGCCCCTGCCTCCCTGCGGGTCTTTGGTTTACCACCCCAGTTGGGGATACACCCCTCAAAACCCGCAGGGAACAGCCTATATCCCCATCTAGGGGGGTAAATCGGCCAGTGGGGCCCAGGCCACGCCGCTGGGGATGGGGATTGGTTAAGCAATGCTCAGAATGGCCTCCCAGCCGACGTCAAGTCGCCTGTTCTCGGCCAGGGTGACTCTGTCGTAGAGGACGTCGCGGAGCGGGTTCCGGAAGTCCTGGCAGCACCCGTGTTCCGCAGGATACCAAAGCGGGTCGTAAGTGCATTGTTCTCACCAAAGACAGGTAGCGTGGGGTCAAACAGCAGTTCGGCTTTGAAAAGGAAGCGCTTCCATCCGTGAACTACAGTGGGGGCCCATGTCAAGAAATACCCTGCTTGCCTCCAGGGTGCCCTGGGTTTCTTGGGTTCCGACGGTTTCGCGATGGAGAGCGCGACGCTCCCACGCCAAAAATCAATGGGAGTCCTGGGGTCTCAGGTATTTTGTGGACTGGCCTCCACTGTATGGGGTCAAACAGCAGTTCTGCTTCGAAGGCGAACAGTCCTCCATCCGTGCAAAACTATCGGAAGCTTTCAGGGGGCCAACGTGCGCGGCGTTGAGTCGAGAGCAGCATGTTGGACACCGTCCCCTCTCCAGCAGCGTAACGGCTGGAAGTTTTTAAGACAATCGTGCGAGGAGCTAAGGCGAGGTAGCCACATTTTGAACCCGCCCCCCTTTTCCGTGCGCTTGCTGGCAATGCTTCATGCGAGATGCGCGCGGCGCTGAGGCGAGGGCCACATGTTGAAAACGAGCCTGCTTCCATCCGTGTAATTGTTGGCAGTTTTCAGGACGTTCGAGAGCCACATTTATCAAAAAGGACTTGTGCTCCGCTAATCCCAAGCTCTGGGGTCATACGCGGGAAGAAGGTCTCATGTGGAACGCACAGCCCGCCCCCGACACGTCTGGGGATGCGACAGGTAGGTGTCATCTATGAAGACTGGGATGCAGGAGTAAGGAAGAGGACTCCCAGGCATCTCAGGCTTGCGCCCCCGCGATCTGATTCAGAGAACACGGAGGGGAGGAGGAGGAGGAGGAGGAGGAGGAGGAGGAGGAACAGCAGGAGGAACAGCAGGAGGACGAGGAGGAGGAGGATTAAGACGTTGGCGGGGGGGGGACTTCGGAACGGGGGATGACGCAGACCGGCTGTGCATACAAGTTCGGCTGTTCAGAGGCGGTGAGCGCGCAGTGCCATTACATGTCGTGCTCACTGCTCTGGGGCTCTATTTTATCGGGATGGCGCCCTCTGGTCTCAATCGAGAGTTTTTCCCTACCTAGGCTCTGCCTAGAAGGGTTCTTACTCTCTGGGCTTAAAGGGCCGGGCAGTGGAAAGCGCCCCGGGCGGTTCCCCCGGTATCCGCCCCGCGGTTCCCCCAGTTACGTCCCCTTAGCTTAGCGTTGCTTATCTCATCTTAGCTTAGCTTATTTCATCTTAGCTTAGCTTAGCTTCATCTTAGCTCAGGTTGATCTTAGCTTAGCTTACCTTCATGTTAGCTTCGCTGAGCTTTAGCATAGCAGAGCACTTCATAGCATAGCATAGCGCAGCATGGCATATCATAGCATAGCCCAGCATAGCATAGCCCAGCATAGCATAGCATAGCATAGCATAGCATAGCGCATCACAGCCTAGCATAGCGCAGCATAGCATGGCATGACATAGCATAGCATAGCATATCATAGCATAGCATAGCAACTAATGCTGCTTTCCTAGGGGCTCCAACTTCTAGGTAGGGTCGCACTGGGGTAATGTTACAGAAACCTTGGCATCGTTCTGGCGATGCCTGACCCTCACAAGCTTCTGGCGGTCCAAAGGGCGGCGTTGAGTCTCTATTTGCATAACCTGGTCAGTGGGTCACCTGGGGTCGATCAAAGTATTTTGCAGGTGCATGCGCGTGCCTCCCGCGCCCAGCTGCTCGAGCATGCTGAGCCCAAGGTGCGATGACCTACACTACGAGGTCATTATGAGCTACATGCGAGGAGGATGAGGAGGCAGCAGAAGGATTTGAGGAGGAGGGGGAGGAGGAGGAGGAGGAGGAGGAGGAGAAGGACAAATGCTGGAGAGCGCTGCCAACCCTCCTGCGTTGAACTTTTGAGCTCCTTGGTGCATCCGCTTCCTCCTCCTCCTCCTCCTTCTTCTTCTCCTCCTCCTCCTCCTCCTCCTCCTCCTCTTCCTCCTCCTCCTCCTCTCCCCCCCCTCCTCCTCCTCCTCTTCCTCCTCTTCTCCTCCTCCTCCTCCTCCCTCCTCCTCCTCCTCCTCCTCCTCCTCCCTCTCCTCCTCCTCCCTCTCCTCCTCCTCCTGCTCCTCCTTCCTCTCCTCCTCCTCCTCCTCCTCCTCCTCCTCCTCCTCCTCCTCCTCCTCCTCCTCCTCCTCCTCCTCCCCCCCCCCTCTTCCTTGTTCCTCATCGTCCTCATCCTCCGCCTCCTCCTTCGTCTCATCCCTGCTCATCCTGCTGCTGCAGAGGGCAGGCTGTGGAGGGAGGCCCAGCGAAGCAGCGTGCCGTGCCGAGGCGATCGCGGAGGAACGGTCACCGGAGGACTTCACCGTGGTGGCCCCGCGGTCCCCGGCGGGGCCCGCCATAGGCACGCAGGCCCGGCGGCGGCGCAGGCAACGCCCCGCGCGCGCGGGCTGCCGCGTGGTGCTGCAGAGGGGGCGGGAGGGAACGAGGGGGAAGGTCAGAGGATGGAAAGGTACCCATACCTCTACCCCTTTTTGGGCCTCCTCGGAGGCCATCGTCGCCATCCCTGGATTCGCCTCGAAATCCTTGTCATAATGAACCCAGGAGAGGTCCGGGGAGTAGCGGTATCGGTAGCTGTTGGTTTCTCCAGAAGGGTGGAGGCGAGGGGAGGGAGCAGGAACTTCCTGCTCCTTCCCCGTCCTTCCCCCCTTCCCCCCTCTCTCCCTCGCTCCCCCTTTCCCCCCCCAGTCCAGTTCCCTCCTCTCTCTCTCCCCCCTCCTGCTACCTCCCCCCCTCAATGGGGGAGGGAGCAGGAGGGGCTGTGTTGGCCTGCCTCCGATGAGGCAGGCCCAGAATTAAGTCGGGCGTCTCCGTCTACAGGACGAAGTTCCAAAATAGTCAAAAATTGTCTGGTGACGAGTTTTTTGGTTATTGTGGGATTAGTTTTGAGTTTTTGTTCGGCCAGTTTTCGTTTTTCTTCCAGATTCCGCCTGCAGGGGGACACGCCCGACCGAAGCCCAGAAGGAGAAGGGTGAACGCGGGGTTGAGGGCGCGCCTGTGCGCCTGGCCCTGCCGGTCTGCGTTGCCGCGACGGGCGGCGCGCAGAGTTCAGCGGAAGTGGCCTGGACGTGCTGGGCCGGGGAGCGCGGAGCACGGACTGTCCCGAGCCCACGGTCGGCGGCGAGCTCCGAGCCCTACCCTCGCCGAGCAGCGGCTCAGGCAGCTCGATGGGCGGCGGGCAGGGCTCGGAAATTCGGCGTCGGCTCGCGAATTTCAGCGGCGGACGCGCCGTCGACGGCCTCGAGGCCCCGCTCGGACCCCTGCGCGCCGTCGCTCCGTTACCGAAGTTGGATCCCCGTCGTGGTCGGGGCCGAACTTCGGCGCGTCCGAGATCCGCAAGCGAAAACGTCTGGTCGCGGATGATTTGAGGGACCGACGTGCTTCCAGCTCTTTCGCGCCACCCTGGAGCCCCAGGTGCCCTCCTCGTGAGGGGTGCCAGGGCCACCCTGGGCCATGGCTGCTGTTGTCAGCGCCCGAACGGCGGCTGCTGCGCGCTGGATCCTCGCTCGCCACCTTGAGTCCTAGGTGATAAGATGGGATATGCATATTTTCGTGGTCAGTGATGTATGCAGGCCCCTCTCTATCCTCAGTCGTTTTGCCTCCGCCCCCTCCCCGAACCTCATCCGCGTCTTCTTCTGCTTCCTTGCTCGCCCTTTCCTCGAGGACTGAGAGTCCTGAGCAGAGGCATGCTGCCAGACCAAGCGACAATGCGGCGCAACCCCGTCACTGGTTGGTTGGGAAGAGGTGAGTCACAGAGTAATGCCTACGAGCCTACAGAACCTAGGGCGCATTCACCATTGTTTCAATGATGCCCAACTTCGTTGATCTGGTTCAAGGGCCACTGCGACAGATGCAGAGACTCTTCCCAGACCTGGCGTGTACATCAGTGGAGACTGGCCCTATGGACGGCAGGATGAAGCACAGGAGTACTGACAGCACAGCTCGCCCCAACGGCACGTGAGGCGACGCGATCGGCCAGCACAAGCGGCACCGAGCAAGAACGACGAGCCGTGCGGCGGGCGCCGCAGACCCCGGCGCCGAGCAAGGAAGACTCGCAGGGAGCGCCCTTCGCCTTCCCCCCCCCCCGCCCCACCCTCCCGCGGCCGTCGCGGCCACGTTGGGCTCTCCTGCCCTGCCCGCGGCCGAGCGCTCAGCTCACTGGCCTGAACTGCCGCCGGCTGGCCCGCGGGCTCCCCAGACAGCCACGTGCGGCCTGCGCACGGACGGGCCCTGCGGCATGTGCAGGCTGCTGGCGCGGCCGAGCTGCCTTCGGGGCTAGAGAACATACCACCAACACCTCCCTCGCCCCCTCCCTCTCCCACGCAATATGAGAGGGAGAGGAGTGCAAAGGAGGGAGGAGGAATGGAGGTGGTGGTGCTATATGTATTATGTATGTGTATATATATATATATATGGAAGAGACTGGAATCACGAGTTCAAAAATATTAATTCGCGAGTTAATACTTTTTGATCGCCAGTATACATATACCCCTGATAGAAAAGTATTAACTTGCGAGTTGTTGTTTTTGGTTCGTGTATACATATAATACTTATAGAAAAGTATTAACTCGCGAGCTAGTTCTTAAAAGCCTAGAAAATTATTAGAAAATGGATTATAAATGTTATAGTTCGGCGTCGTTTCGACGAAGGGAACAGACGTTGCACAATAGAATAAACGATAGATTGCTTCCTTCCTCGAGGATTTGGTTTCGAGGCTTCAGGACTATTTTTTGAGAGTGTCGAATTACTAGACAGGTTCTTCGAAGCCCAGGCTGCCGGCTGGTCTCCCGGAAGTATTTCCGGGATCGATCGGCCTCCCAGAGGTTACATGCCCGCGTCCTACAGAGGATTCGTAGCGGCTCTGGGGCAAAACTGCGGCAGCGAGGGATAAAAAGGTTGTTAAGTTTACCGATTTAGTCCCCTCTAAATCTGTTAACCTCTGCGGGTGCTTTTGAATCCAAGTTACGAATCCCGCGACAGAGCGTCGGTAGGGCACGGGCAAAGGAAAATTATGTCTATATCTGTCATCCATCCCTTTTCTCTCTCTCTCTCTCTCTCGATATAGTGGTATTCCGAACGCGCTGAATGTAATTGATCCGTAGTGTTAAGGCTCAAGCTGACTCAGCAATTTGTTGTGATTATCACACCTTCATTTGTACCTTCGTTCCGCTCCGTTGGAGAGGGTACACCTCCATATGATGTTTATGTTTGTTTTCTTTGTTGTGGTGGACGGAGTGGTATTATGGCGTCGGCCACCTGTACAGGGCGCTCGCATTGAATTGCATGCAGACCGTGTCGTCATTCAATCAATCCCATCTCGAAGATGGATGGCTCCCCGCTCCAGGAGATTCATGCGCACCTGGAGCTGGGTCGAGCAGCGCAGGCCAACCTTTCGATGTCGTCCCTTTACAGGTCCGAGATGCCCCCGAGGAAGAGCCGATCAAGAAAAGGCCGAGGGGGCGAGGTAAAAAACGGCGCCCATTTGAGATCTATGGCGAGCCGGTTGCTTTTACATCACCAGATATGTCGTTACATGACACGTGCATTCTTTGACACTGTCATCCTACAATGGGGTCAAGAATTTTTCAGGCGGCTTGCAAGCAATGTCGCGACTGCACAAAAACGTGGTGTTTTCCAGGAAGATAATACAATTATCATTGAAGTCGCCGGAAATTGCACTGGGAAGCATGACGAGCAGTTAAGAAATGGAAAGAAGTACACCAAGATCGCCGCAGAGAAAAAAGCAGACCGGGTTTTATTACAAGACGGAGCTGATCCAGATCATTGGCCCACACAGAGTCAAATTACGAACCAGCGAGCCAATCATAAAGTACCTATCAATCATTATGTCGCAGAGTGCCTTGGTACTTTCAATACTTTTCTGGAGAATCTCCCGAAAGAGATGCATATATACCATGGCAAGAAGATTCTAATTGCAACACAATTACGTATTTCGTTCTCGTCTGTTCGGGGCGTCGATAAGCTGAAGGATTTGAAGCATTCATCAAGTTTCCTAATGGGTTCCACGTTTAAGTTCAATTGCCATGGTTTGGTTTTGGGCGCTGCAGGTCCGGCTGGTTCATGGCAAAATCAAACGACTGGAGAGCCTTTTTTAACAAAAAATCGTTTTAATGTTAGCCGATGGGGAACGCGAAGAAGCTCGCATTATGTTTGCCGATTTGTTCTTCGACATCGCAAAAGATGTGGGCATGGAAATACGAGGTGTATATTTGGACTGTGCATGTTTTCATACAACCGAGAAGAAATATGGAGGGAGTTTATATTTACATCGATGTTTGCAGCATGTGCGCACTTATCTGAAAGCAGAAAGTAAGAAGAAATATGAAGAGAGTGGGAATGTACGGTTATCACGTCAGGAGTTGTTATCCTATTTTGACGCGTATATTGCATCTTCAGCATGGATGCCGAATGATTTAGAGTTCGAAAAATTTTGGGATGAGATATTAACGCGAAGGGTGAGTTCCCGAACAATTCAGAAGTCGAATTGGGATCAACCGGAATTTGCGAAATCTGTAAAGAATTATATCTCCATTTGTAAAGAAGGTATTATTCGTGCAACATGGGCGTCCGGACTCGGTGCAGTTCCGCGCGGTTTTACGACATTTGCGGCATGCGCTACTGAACGGCAACATCGACGATTCAAGAGTCTGTTCGACGTCGGATACGAGAAATTTAATGCAGCGGAGCTCATGGCACAAGTATGTGAAATAATGTCTGCTCGAATTAAAAAGGGCCGTTCCGATAATTTGGTCGATCAAATTTCAGATCCATGGTCGGGGCCATGGAAATGGCCACAACCGAAGGTTGAGAGTCGGGGCGACGCACGCGACGCAGTGTCGGAAGATTCATCATCACAACTAATACGTTTGGATTTCTCTAGTATTCTGCAACAGTACAGGGAACATGGCCCAAAGAAAACGCATTTGATGCAACCATCTTCTGCGAGATTATCAACAGGCGAGACAGAATGCGTTTACGCGATGTCAAACTATAAATTGAATCGTGCTTCTGAAAATTCATGCGACATGGAAGCAATGTTGAAATTGGCGCAAGCAGAAACAGCATTAGACGTCGGAACGCATGCGCAGACCTGGAAGAGGGTGCGCATGATATTTCCCGGCGCATGTTTCTACTGAATATTACACGTATGTTTACGTCGCAAAGGAGGGAACATATACAGAGATGTGCACCGTCATTATGTGCAAGGAGCAGGTTATTCTGAACATTCAATATTCATTAAAGTTGCTCACGCGGAGCATTTCGTTGACCGCATTCCTTTTTAGGGCCATCGGATTCCATATTGGAAAATAGGAAAAGACCCAAAGCCAAGGCAAAGGCATCCATGGAG